GTCTCAGAGAAACATACTATGTCATATTCAGATAAAAACTCGGACAGATAAGATCGCTTATTACGTATACTTCGTGCGTTCAAGTGAACAATCGACAACATGTTGTCTTTCTGAACAATAGGACCTGGGTTAGGCTCTACGTCACCAGCAAGCTGAAGTAACAATAGAATAATCAAGGTTATGTTGAGATTTGTAACTTGTGATTGAAGCAGACACAGAAACGTAAGCGCACAGCAAGCTTTCAATTCTAACAATAGTAAATTGCACATAGCCTCTGCTTCAACACGTAGTAAACTGAAAAGTACATTTTTGTTAACAAGTAGGATACTGATTTTGAAACATTTCTTGAGATTTCTAGAGCATTTGAGATGTCTGAACAACCCGATCGCCGCACGGTATTGCGTTACGTCATTACCCATATGGCTTGTTTACTTCGTGTTGATAGATGGTACATGTGCGGATACTAGATCGGGTTATTTGCAGGCGTGTCAATGAATATAGTTGTACATGATGGCATGGCAATGCAGGATCTCTCAAAGGTTCTAAAGAAGATAGATGAACAAAGAATATATACAGTGATTCATTGATGGATACAGATATACACGGAGATATAGTTTGTGGAATATGAAAACCAAAGGTGAGATAAAGAATAGTATATACAGGCAATAATGCAAACATAAACAAGTATCGAGATAAACTATTGTGTGTTGATATACTAGATACAATTCATAAATAGAAATATTTTACGTACTTACATACGTCTGAATTTCTACACACATACAATACAAACATGAATGTGAGAACACAAGATAGTCGCTAGTGTCGCCTGAACTTGTCCAGGTCCGACTCACGCTGAATCACACGAATAGCTCCTTCACACTGTTCACAGATGTACACTCTCCCATCATATGTCCAGGTTGAATATATCTTCTGATCCTTCCTCAGGTCTCTGGCCAACTTGAACAAGTGATTCCTGTGCTTAGTCAGATCCTCGTTGATATAGATACCGTCTCGTTTACCTTTGAGTTTGGACTTGTTCTTGATCACCTTGTTGCGGTCCCAGTAGCTCACAAGCTTCACCACTACACTCCTGTTCTGACCTCGCTGTCTCTTCCCCACTCTATGGCACCTGTCGATGTCTGATGGTGAGATATCCGGGTGTACATCCTTCAGCACATCTAGTACAACCTGGTCAATGTCCTAGCCGATGTTACCTTGTCTCTGAAATGGTGCCGTACTGTTTAAGTAGTATGGTGCAAATCTGCTATATAATTCCCACAGAAGGAGATAAGTATCTGTGCCTGTTTGAAGAAAAGCTAGTGCATTTTTGAACGAACTGTTGCTCCTTATGACATGGCAAATAAAAAGTTGGAAAAGCTATTTGCGATGGCTTGTCGTGCAAATAATATGCTTCATGTCAAGGTCTAATAGTTATTTACAATGGCAATGAATTAAGAGTGGCGGATTTTCTCTAACAAACACACTGAAGTTTCGTTTGCTTTGTACATTAACAACGGCTGAACAAGTGGATTCCTTATTCAGGTTACTGGGGTCGGCTGTTTGTGTCTCATCTACGTAACAAGGTTTTATATAGTGAAGGTAAAATTGCATGGTCGTGAAAATGAATCCGATAACTGGAAATATCAGTGGGTCAGATACTGACCAGCAAAGGATGACAACCCAGGAGGGGGTTCACTGGTCGCTTTCGGACAGCGAAGCGTCATATGTGAATGTAAGCAAGGATGGCACTGAACACAGTAAGTTAAAAACATGTTTGTATATTTTTGTCTCAGACAAGTGGCATTTCATTATCTGTGTTGGTGCCGAAAGATGGCAATATATGCATTATAGGCAAACATTCAAGGTGGAGTTGACAACGGTGTCCCCGACGACGTGTTGTGTCCTTTATGAATGTGAATGTTTTGTCATTCTTATGGCACGGTAATATATACTGAGTCAGAAAAGAAACTTCACAAAATGTAATTTGAAAAATAATGAATAATTTTTCTCTGATGATACATCTATGTATCCGAAATTGAATCCCTATCTTTCGACTCTTGAAAAACCGTTAGCAAAACCCACTCAAACCCATCCATTCGTGCAAATGACGTTAGTGCCAAATCAGGTTTTGCACGTGCAGTCGATCACGTGATCTTCGCAAGTTTTCTTCATGTGCACGAGTTTGCATTGGCCTCAAGAATTGAAAAAACACTTTTAAACCACAGTTCTAACGGTACTTGAAATGCCACGATTGTCAAATGCGCAACGTGAACATGTTGCAAGCGGGAAGATCAGTTATTGACGTCGCAAGAGCAATGGGATGCAGCCGTCGTACTGTGTATGACTTGCGAGGTCGTCTACAACAAACTAGCACCACTTCTGATCGCCCAAGGTCTGGTCGTCCACGTGTGACGTCACGAGCAGAAGACCGTCAAATCGTCCTACGTCACCTACGTGACAGATTTCTGCCGGCTACACGAACCAGGGCTGAGATGTTTAGAGGTCGACTGTCCTCACAGACCATTCGAAATCAGTTGCGGGCTGCCAATCTCCATTCTCGACGTCCATATCGTGGGCCAATATTGACGCCGTTTCATCAACGTCAACGTCTGCTGTGGGCCCAACGTCACCTCCGATGGACCCAGAGAGACTGGAATCGAGTCGTCTTTAGTGATGAATCCAGGTTTACCCTCAGATTCGCGGACGGCAGGCATAGAGTCTGGAGACGACGTCGTGAACGGTATGCCCAATGTTGTGTACAGGAAGTCGACAGATTCGGGGGCGCTTTCTGTGGGAACAACCCTTCCCGACTTCTGGTCATCCGTGGAAACCTCACAGCTGCTGCTTACCGCGACCAGGTGCTCACCCCTGAACTCGTTCCTTTCATGGCGGCTCATGACCCAGGTCTACAGTTCCAGCATGGTAATGCTCGGCCGCATACCTCGATGTTGACACGAAATTTCCTTCAAAACGCTGGAATTAACGTCATGGACTGGCCATCGAGGTCCCCTGACCTTAATCCAATAGAGCACGTTTGGGATACACTTTGGAGAAGGCTTCGTGGTCTTAGGAACCAACCTCAGAATTTGCAGGAACAATGGCGCAGAATCCCCAACCACGTGTTCACAAGCATCAGGCAGTCGATGAGGAGACGGTGTTTGGCAGTGGTGAATGCGCAAGGCGGCCATATACGATATTGAACTGAGAAATTTCGCATTTTTATTCTTGTGACTTGACATTCTGTATACCCATGTTTTGGAACGGCGGTGTGGCCTAATGGAACTGTTTATGGCACTATCAGTGTATCGAGTACATCATACAGATCTCAGCAATGAAATAATAACAATTTAACCATCTTACCATCACTTGTTCTTTTATAGTGCCCTGAAGAAAGAATGTGAAGTTTCTTTTTTGACTCAGTATATAACCGGGGCCCGTTTGGGTATTACCGACCTTCGTTTCGCTGCATTCAAACATGTTTCCTATCAGTATAAAGACTAAGTGTATATCCTTGCCACATGATTAACATCCACAATATGCTGAATACTTCACAGGATAAAAGCGCCGATCGTACTTCTCGACGTTCCTCCACGTTTAATCGAAAGTTGTTATTTTTGACTGATGTTCACATAAATAATGCTGTTATTGCACTGTGACGTACATAGGTCACGTGATACTTTACGTCTTGGTTTTTTATGTAGCGTTCGATGCTTTCCCCGAACACGTAAATCCATTGTTGTGTTCACCATCATATCAACAAGAGAAGTTGCAGCGTAATCAGAAATTGTAACATATTGCATCAACAATAGCTGTTTTACACGAGGGTGGCATTACAGGTTACTTGAGAGTGGCATTACAACTTACATGTGAGCGGCATTACAACTTACATGGGAGCGGCACTACAAGTTTCATGAGAGCGGCACTACAAGTCAGGTTACATGAGAGTGACATTACAAGTCAGGTTACATGAGAGTGACATTACAAGTCAGGTTACATGAGAGTGACATTACAAGTCAGGTTACATGAGAGTGACATTACAAGCCAGGTCACATGAGAGTGACATTACAAGTCACGTTAGATTGACATTACAAGCCAGGCTACATGAGAGTGACATTACAAGTCAGGTTACATGAGAGTGACATTACAAGCCAGGTTACAAGAGAGTGACATTACAAGTCAGGTTACATGAGAGTGGCATTACAAGCCAGGTTACATGAGAGTGACATTACAAGTCAGGTTACATGAGAGTGGCATTACAAGTCAGGTAACATGAGAGCGTCATTACGAGTTACATGAGAGTGGCATTACAAGTCAGGTTACATGAGAGTGGCATTACAAGTCAGGTTACATGAGAGTGGCATTACAAGTCAGGTTACATGAGAGTGGTACTACAAGTCAGGTTACATGAGAGTGGCATTACAAGTCAGGTTACATGAGAGTGGCATTACAAGTCAGGTTACATGAGAGTGGTACTACAAGTCAGGTTACATGAGAGTGACATTGCAAGTCAGGTTATATGAGAGTCACATTACAATCAGGTTACACGAGAGCGTCCTTACGAGCTACGTAAGAGTGACATTACAAGTCAGGTTACATGAGAGTGGTATTACAAGTCAGGTTACATGAGAGCGGTATTACAAGCGAGGTTACACGAGAGTGACATTACAAGTCAGGTTACATGAGAGTGGCATTACGAGTTACATGAGAGTGGCATTACAACTCAGGTTACATGGGAGCGTCATTAAAGTCAGGCTACATGAGAGTGACATTGAAAGTCAGGATATATGAGAGTGACATTACAAATCAGGTTACATGAGAGTGACATTACGAGTCAGGTTACATGAGAGTGGTATTACAAGTCAGGTTACATGAGAGTGACATTACAAGCCAGGTTACATGAGAGTGACATTACAAGTCAGGTTATATGAGAGTGACATTACAAGTCACGTTACATGAGAGATGTTCGATACAGACGATCTACCACCCTAAAACAAGAGCAGATGACGGGTAAGTTTCTTCATAACAGTACAGTTCACTATTACTCACCTTCAAATTTGTTGGATGACGGTATTGGTTTTCATATTATCTCTGTCTTAGCCGTTGCCTTTGAACTTAGCCCAGTGTCATTGGTTTGGCGTGAGTATCATCTATGAGGCAGAACTTAGCCCAGTGACATTGGTTTGGCGTGAGTATCATCTATGAGGCAGAACTTAGCCCAGTGTCATTGGTTTGGCGTGAGTATCATCTACGAGGCAGAACTTAGCCCAGTGTCATTGGTTTGGCGTGTGTCTCATCTATGAGGCAGAACTTAGCCCAGTGTCATTGGTTTGGCGTGTGTCTCATCTATGAAGCAGAACTTAGCCCAGTGTCATTGGTTTGGCGTGAGTATCATCTATGAGGCAGAACTTAGCCCAGTGTCATTAGTTTGGCGTGTGTCTCATCTATGAGGCAGAACTTAGCCCAGTGTCATTGGTTTTGGCATGAGTCTCATCTATGAGGCAGAGATGTAATTACCATACCAAGACATAGGTTCCTTACTGCTGCATCATTCAACAATAAGTCAGAGATTATATTGTTGAGCTTCAGCCGAATTTCAAAGCTTCAAATTAAGACTTTCCCCCATTGTACCTGCGCATTTTAACTGGCCACAATAAGGGTGTAGTCCTTTGTTTTTAAACCCTTGTTTGTTTTCAGAACACGTCGGCTTTTGTTCCAGAGACCCCTGTTTCAGAGCTTCCATGTTTCAGAATACATTGATTCACTGTCTCTGTGTTCCATAATGCATTGATTCACAGTCTCTGAGTTCCAGAATGCATTGATTCACAGTCTCTGTGTTACAGCATTCATTGATTCACAGTCTCTGTGTTCCAGCATTCATTGATTCACAGTCTCTGTGTTCCAGCATTCATTGATTCACAGTCTCTGTGTTCAAAAATGCATTGATTCACAGTCTCTGTGTTCAAAAATGCATTGATTCACAGTCTCTGTGTTGCAGCATTCATTGATTCACAATCTGTGTTACAGCATTCATTGATTCACAATCTGTGTTCCAGCATTCATTGATTCACAGTCTCTAAGTTTAAGAATCCCACTTTTCAGTTCCCCATGTTTCAAAGTCTTCGTGTTTCAGAGATTCAATGTTTTAGAGATGCTGTGTTGCAGAAAACCACGTTTCAGACCCTCCATGTCTCAGAAGCCCTTGTTTCAGAATCCATGTTATCTCAGCGTCCCTTTTGGGCCAGAATGCCCAGTGTTTCAAGGTCAATCCTATCCTATGAAGATCCGGGGTAGAATAGGTCTTCAGCAGCCCATGCTTGCCACAAAAGGCGACTATGCTTTTAAGAGGCAACTAAAGAGATCGGGTGGTCAGGCTCGCTGACTTGGTTGACACATGTCATCGGTTCCAAATTGTGCAGATCGATGCTCATGCTGTGGATCACTGGATTGTCTGGTCCAGACTTGATTATTTACAAACCGCCGCCATATAGCTGGAATATTGCTTAGTGCGGTGTTAAACTCAACTCACTCACTCACTCTTTATATTAATAATGACAACATACATTTACTGGCTAACACTAAAGAAAGCGCAGGGAATGGATGCTTGTAATTTGTATCCTTGTATAAACACTGCAGGAGGAGGTGAGTAGTTTGTTTTGGTGTGTGGTCCTGTGCACTGATCCCAGGTCACAAATCAGTTAAAATTGAGCAAGGTTGGTCACGAGTCCTTGGATGGTTGATCGTGTTAAACAGCCTGACTCTTGAGAGTTTCTGGGAGTACCCTTCCACACAACCAAGCACACGTGGCACATGTCTCACCCTAGGAAAGTGAATATGTTGCCTCTGTTCACCAAGCAATGAGTGGTACCCGATGTGATTAGGCTATGATTGGCTATCGTTCTAGTGCCTCACAGATGGGTATGAAATATGGGAGTTTGAAAACTTAAATATTACGGAAAATATCCATTTAACATTTTTAAGGAAATTGTTATTTATACTAAAATGATATACTCCAGGGTAAGATTAATCACAGGAATATACCCAAAGCTGGCAAACATGCTACTACATATTTCATCAAATAATACATCTAATAACAAATGGCTATCATGTATCAAAGACATAATAATAAAGACGGGAAATAATGATGTATGGATTAACCCTGCATTTGTCAATAGGGATTGGATTAAATGTAAAGTCAAGAATAGTCATATAGATCTTTTCATACAAAAGGGCATTCAGATATTGAAGCATCATCAAAGGGTAGGTTTTATGAAATTGTATAAAACAACACTGATACTGATTTTTTTTTTACAACACTTATCTGAAAAATATATATTCAATTTGTTACATTTTAAACTGTCAAATCATCGTCTTCGTGTTGAAACTGAAAGATGGTACAATATCGATTATAATTATAGAAAATGAACATTGTGCACCTTATATGTAATAGGAGATGAGCACCACTACCTTTTTAACTGTCAATACTTTAACGAAAAAAGAAAAAGATTTATTCACAAAAAAAGTTGATTACAAAGCCCTCAATATTTTATATGATTAACTTATTCCAGACAAAAAATGTATCACTTTTAAAGTCCATATTTTGCCGCCATGTGCTCTGTAAATTCAGATAAAACTTCATCATTGTATTATTCATGTATATGATATCAATGTATGTACTTAACTATGTATATAGAGAATACTACACGAGGTCACATTACATACGAATTATACGAAACGAGTGTCCTTCCTATGGTGTCTAATTCGTATGTAATGAGACCGAGTGTGGTATTTTATTTATTACCCACGTCTTACATGCATTAAATTGACCAAATAGCGTATTTTTGTTATTTTTTTGGTTTCGAACCGAAACCGTTTTCATAAAGGGGTTTGCGCTAGAGTTTTGTACTGTAGTACAATATTTGCATGACGTCACACTGTAATGACGTCACTGCCCTGGTAACCGACGTCAGGATGCATGGCAGTTGTCATCGCCTCGTACAGCCTCCTACAGTAAACTACTCCGTAGCACCCCGTTTCTTGGTTTGCAGTTGCTTCATTCGGCTAACATCACTGGTGAAAACATTGCGTTTATGTTTTTTCGACGGATATAATGTCCCAGTTCGACTCACAATTAATCAGCGACACGGCAACATTCGCAATGTTTACATTCCCACAATACATTTAAGTTGTAGAATGAATGAATTCACGTGTTTGTTATGAATGAAAAAATAGTTACGTCAGAATGTGACCTAATTGAGAGGTCATCGGTTATCCAATCAAATCGTTAGAATCTCAGGTCAAGTCGTTACGACACAGGTCAACGCGATACGACACTCGTGTGACGTACGAGATTAGTATGCAACTACCCATACGTTGACCACGTGGGTAATAAACACCCGTACGCAATTATTCATATATCTCTTGTAAGCCTCATCATGCTACATTGTAGCCTTGAGTGAATGAAGTAAAAGAGAACAGACAGCTTGGGTTAACCGGAGTAATAATGCCTTCGCTTTGCGCATAATTTGTCCACTGAGCAATTTTGAGGTGGATACTGAGCGTTCTACAAATGCAGAGTGTCTGCCCAGATACCGGTGCACCGTGTTTAACTGAAAGACGTTAAACAAGGACTAGACTAAGTCGGCTCGGTATTAAATATAATGTAAGGGACCCGCGATAAATCGAGTAATGCAGAAACAGCAACCCAAAAGAACCAGAAACACAGTTTCATAAATCCAGTAATGCAGAAACAGCAACCCCCAAAAAACCAGAAAGAAGTTTACCTTCCAAAATATATTAGATTGTTCTCCGAGTCAGAAAAAAGTACTTCACTCAAACCTGCCATAATCAAAAAGGGTTAATACAAATCAATATTTTCCTCCCTGAGATTAGCACCGTCTGTCGAGGCCTTCTACCACAGGTCAGTGATATGTGACGATTTGTTCTATCTTGTACAGTGATGTCAACAGTATTGTTTTCACCTTTGTCAAGTCCACATATTATGACAAATATATGTCATAAAATATAAATATACCATCAAATGTGAAAAACCTCCATATGCGTAATATTTAATCTTGGTTTAAAACAGGCTGTAAGCCATGAAATACACAATGCCATTTAGAAAGTGGTCAAATGTAACATATGTTATATTTGGGATTACACTTCCTTAGTAAAGTACAGATCCTAGTACTTCTTTGTGGGTTGAGTCCCGTCCGGGATTCGAACCCACACCCTCAGAGTCAGGCACCTAATCGCCAGCACACAAAGTCAGACGCCTAGACCGCTCAGCCACCGCGGCTTCCACAAAAATGGAAGTCGGACAACTGGTACTCTAGACTGCGGACTTTGTGTACCCCTCTGATAAGTGTTAATTGGCACGGCCGCCATGGCCGAAAGCTATGAAATACACAATGCCATTTAGAAAGTGGTCAAATGTAACATATGTTATATTTGGTATTACACTTTCTTAGTAAAGTACCAGTATCTGTACTTTACTAAGAAAGTGTAATCCCAAATGTAAAACTAAACTCACTACTTAACAATTAGAAATGGTGAAACCAGAACTGATCGGAATAGTATTTCGAATAAGCCCTATAGGTCTACAAATGTTATCCGTCCAAAAATAAGTCAACTATTTTTGGATAATTTCCATCGCCAATTGGCATTTTACGACCATTGGTATCTGTTTTACGACCACTGGTATCTGTTTCGTCGGGTAGTCCAGACTGGTTGTTCTCTTCTCTCATTGACTTTGTGTGTTCAGTATGACCTGAGGATATCCATTTAATAAATAGAAAATACTAAACGATGTCTGATACCATATTTATGAAACGAGTTTCGCTCGTTAGATACCAATACCATTCACGAGCTTCATAAATATGGTATTACGAGTGAATGGTTTGGTATCTAACGAGCGAAAGGGAGTTAGATACCTATACCATTCACGAGCTTCATAAATATGGTATTACACGGGACATCGTTTAATATTGTATTTATTACTCACCCACCATTAGCCGTCATAACAGGGGCCCCGCGTATGAATACATTTCATTTGATTGTCAACATTAGTCTATTTAATTTGACTTCTAAAAATATACAAGTGGGTATGAAAAAGGGACCAAATGACTTCAACCAACATATTATTTTTAAAATAAATACTATTAACCGAGCTAAGAACAGTTGAATATCGCGACTTCGAGATGTGTGTTGAATGACAGCCGACAGTTTGTTTTGATCACGTTACTTTGGTCATGTGACCGAATGCAAATAGTTCCGGCAGCACGCGATGTTATTACACAATGTGTTTATTTCACAATGTGTAATAACATTGTAGATTTATTAAACGGTGCTATCTTCAACAGGTGAGTATTAATGTAATTTATACACAGCCGTGTGTATACAAACTGACTAAAGAAGGTAGAAGCCAACAACAAGTGTTGCGGCGAAAAATCGAGACTGGTTATTTTCTGGTATTGCCGCTAGATATATATATATACAATCAATGGGACGTGAAATGTTTTGGGGTATCACACTCAGTTGACTTTCTTTTAGCCCCTCTGTTGCACTCTGATTGGTTTCTTGTTTAACACCGAACTGAGCAATTATTTCAATCTGAGGAACGCAGTATATTTCTGACATATACTTTGAAAGATGTAAGTGTCCTTTCGAGTGTTAGCCAGTGTCCTCTCTCTTTGTCGTCGGCACTGAGCCACTAAATAGGTACATGCAGTTTTGTATTACATAATGCGAGTATCCAGTGTGTGCGTGCGTGCGTGCGTGCGGGTATGCGTGCGTTCTGTTCATGGCTGTTTTATGTTTCACTTTCTTGCGCCAATTCTATATACACAGACTCAATCCATCACGACAAATTCTAATATGATGCTTCGTTTTTTGTCAAAGACTCTCATATCTCTAAATCTCTCAAGTGCGGGTCCTCCCAGCGTGGCGCTTCAGCTATTACATTCAAACTATACCCCAAGGCCGGAGATATGCCCGAATCCCTGCTTGATCCCCACGGAAACATAAATGTGACATTGAAATGTAGAATTTAATTGTTGGAAGGCAAAATAATCATCTTGACTACCCGTAAGCGTTATTTCTCTCTTGAATTACGTACAGTTGGACACGATCTCAGGCAGTTAGCAATACACGTTTTGATGAATTTAATTGGAGCAGGATAACAGGGGATACCCTCCTCATCATCGTAAAAATCCAGCATCTAAATCGGTCCTTTTGCAACTCTGTATCTGTCTGTGGGAATTTGATGGGCCCAAATTTACCACGTAAACTATTCCAGCCAAATTTCAAGAGGTATTACATAAAATTACTCACTAGCCGTATACACCATCCCACCGATTTCTACTGTTGGATCATAATATTTCTTTTTACAGAGTATTGAACAAACTCAACAAACACTGGCAGTAATATCTGATCAAACTTTTTAAAGATATCATGACTCCAATTTGATTTTTTTTTCAGGATACTTAGAGACTACATTGTTCTATCGCTTGTGCGATCTCTCAAGCCCTACTTTGATCCCAATACATTTGAAGTGTATGAAGAGTCGGGTAAGTGGCGCGAGTGTTTTGATACTCGCTTGTTACACTGCTGTTACTGTAGAAACGCATGGGTGTCTGGTAAGGACAAGAAAACGAAGGGACTAAATGGTGGATATGAATATAATTTCTTCTTGTGGCGTTTCCATATATATAAATCATTTTCATTCTATCACATCAAAACTAAACAGCGGATTCTCATTCAAGAAATTTGTGTTTTCTTAATTTATCCAATGCTGAAAAAAAATGTATTTGAATTAAAATCGATTTTATATCTTAATAATGAATTTAATCTAACGGTTTTAATATTACCGTTATGTTTATGTTTACAGTGTTAACTGTTTATGCGCCTCTGAACTGCTTGTAGGTAAGGCGCTATGTAAACGTATATTTATTATTGTTACAATTATAATCATCATTATTGTTATTTTGTGTCATATGGCACTGTGTCGGCTGTAGATGTTTGCAAGATTCTTTGTTATTTACTTATTTCTTTTACGTTTGCAGAAGAAGAAGAAATGATTGAACACTGGAAGCGGTGTGCCTTCTACACAAATTCCGCCATGCAGTTTGCCACTGGGGCAATCTACGTCAGCGGTACTGCTCATGAAGAGAATGCAGAAAAGGTTGGACTTGTGTATCCCTGTAAAGCGGACCTCCGTTAATCCGTACCCTGTTACTTCCCAATTCCGAATTGCAAATGACATCAGTGTCGCAGGCATGTGTGAAAAGTGCCCTTTGGTGATCGGAAGCCTAAGACCCCACTTCGTTATAACCAACAGTTCGTTGCAAGCATATTCGTAACAAAAGTAGTTTACTGAACACCAGGTTGTTTCATGATAATGATTCTGTCCATTGACTAATATTTTTGTTTTGAATTTGACAACAATATTACACACCCTCATATTTATGCTCTTTGTGTTACAGATTGAAGACCTGATTGTATATGTAAAAAGTGCATTCAAGGACTACCTGTTGAGAAAGTTCTGGATGGACAAAGGCACCAGAACAAAGGCATCAGAAAAGGTAGTTATTCTTTAACATTTAAACTCTTTTGAAGATTCTCTTGGCACGGGCGGTGGGGTAGCCTAATGGTTAAAGCGTCCGCTCGTCACGCCGAAGACCCGGGTTGATTCCCCTACAACGTGTGAAGCCCATTTCTGGTGTCCCCCGCCGTGATATTGCTGAAATATTGCTAATGGCGGCGTAAGACCATACTCACTCACTCTCTTGGCACGGCCATTTGTTGTGTAGAGTTGCATCCCTTTGATTGGTAGAATCTATATTTGTTTGTTTGAATCCCAATCCGCAGTTGTAATGATTCTTGGTTTGTCTGCACCATGGTCATGGTTGTCCCCAAAGTGGTGACATCTTGCATCACTTCGGGATCTCCTCCCACATGAAGCCACACCCCGTGATAACTGAAATCTGCCCACAGGGGCGTTAAACCCAGCTTAAAACTGTTGTTTATCGTCAATATCTTGTTTCTGTTCCTTCACTTTTACATTAGAGGCGGCGAGGTAGCCTGGTGGTTACAGCGTTCGCTTCACACACCGAAGACCCGGGTTCGATTCTCCACATGGGTACAATGTGTGAAGTCCAATTCTGGTGTCCCCCGCCGTGATATTGCTGGAATATTGCTAAAAGCGGCGTAAAACCATACTAAATTTTGTCGCTATAATATGTTTGTAACTATGGGAATGAATACAAAAAATCATACCTAATAGTTCAATATTTTCATTTCAGATCGACCATATCATAGACAAAATCAGCTACCCCTTGTTTATTCTCAATGGTACTTTCCTGGATACCTATTACACGAATGTAAGTATGGAAACCTATTATCGCTTACCTTTTGAGATTTTAAAGTGAAAACCGTTGTTCGAAGACATTAACAGGCAGAGAATAAAAGAAATGTTCATCATATACAGACGTTTTTTAATAGCAACTGTACAGTGGATGTTTTGGGAACACCCGGTGTCATGACTGATTTTCTTCCGCCCATAAAATTTTCATTGCTTCTTTGCCATATTCGCCAAATGGGATTAGACAGATTACCTGGACTGATTAATCCCTGGATTATCTCGCTGGCGTATTCTACTCACTATAGAGATGACAAGACTTTATGGATGTTCAACTTCTTTATTTTAACAATGGCGACGTTTCGGTATAGATTCTTATACCGTTTTCAAGAAGGGGCGGTGGGGTAGCCTAGTGGTTAAAGCGTTCGTTCGTCAAGCTGAAGACCCGAGTTCGATTCCCTACATGGGTACAATGTGTGAAGCCCATTTCTGGTGTCCCCCGCCATGATATTGCTGGAATATTGCTAAAAGCAGCGTAAAACTAAACTCACTCACTCACTAAAGATGGGGTACACCGGTTTATATACAAGATAAGATAAAGAGATAACAATAACAAGGGTGGAAAACAAAGCATGAAAGAAAGTTACATGATGAGCTACAATAGCATGATGATGAGCTATGATAACATAAAATAAGTGGGATAACCAAGACAATTAGTGACTGTAAGTTAATTAGGCAGAAGCCAGGGTGGTGGGGGATTAATTCTAGAATGCCACTCAAACAGATTATACTCACTATGTGAAATATTCTTAAAGAACGTTTAGATAGATGAAAATAAACTTTAAGGCTATTTCTTATGACAGTTTTATACTTTCTTTCAATGAATGTTGATACATTTTGTTTTTAATTTATGCACAGTTTACAAAATGTAATTATAAAGTTTGGTAATTCACAGTAATTATCCAAGTATGATTGCCGTGACGCTTATCGCTAAAGCTAGAATCACATATTTTCAGTTTGAGGTTGTCGTGGACTGGTTCAAGAATATTCAAGCATGGCGGAAGTTCTAGCTGCAGCTTGCAAATAATCTGTTAAAAGAAAAACCCGACAGGAAAAAGAGGTAAGAATATAAATAGATTTGTACCGTTAGACTGGACGTGAGCTCTAACTGCAATGGAGTATCCCGCAACGAAAGTTATTAGAGTTACCTCCCTTGTATGAGATGAGAATTTCCATTCCATTCGTCACCACTCGCCTCTTTCAGTCGGCTTGTCCCGGAATAACACGAGTTGGTCACGAATGGAGAATTTCGTGTCCTCGTTTTACACATGTGCTAAGCTGCCCTGTCACTAGTGTCAGTTGTATTTAGTAAAAGTATTAACACAGAATATCACCTTTAATTTGACTTCAGCGTGGCTCAGAGAGACCTGTAACCAAATGACATTCGTTCGTCTTGTTTGTTGTTGTTGTTGTTGTTGTTGTTGTTGTTGTTTAACGCTGCACTCGGCAATATTCCAGCACTGTGACGGCAGTCTGTAAATAAGCGTCTGAACCAGACAACCCAGTGATTGACATCATGAGCATCGAATCTTAGCAATTGGGATACGATGACATGTGTCAACCAAGTCAGCGATCCTGACCACCCTATCCCGTTAGTCGCCTCTTACCCAATATTAACCCGGATCTTCAAGGGTTACCTAGATGTGTCAAACAAGGAGCTGAGTTACTGATATTTTTTGCAGCTGGCTTCGTCACAGTGAACGCTTTCTACTCCCCCACGAGGAACGACATCATCTTCCCCATCGCCATGTTCCATCTTTCCTTCTACATTCCAAATGGACCAAAGTAAGCACTGTAATCTACCGTTATAACCAAATCAAAGAGACCACTAGCTTGAGTTCGTTATACGCATTTCGTTTAAATACACAGGAAGAGATCAGGACATAAATCACTTCGTTATATGCGTGTTCGGTACAACGTAGTTTACTGTATTGCCACTGAAACAGGAGCATATACGTCTTATCAATGGTTAAAATAAACACAGATATGAAGTATATACAGTTATATCATCCTATATTTAAACTCTACGTATCTGTAACTATGTACAATAAATGTCTTATTTTCTTCCAGGTCCGTCAATTTTGGTGCTATGGGGTCCATCATCGGGCATGAAATTACACACGCATTTGACATACAAGGTATGGTTGATATAGGTTTCGTTTATGTAAAGTTATGATATAATATAATATAATATAATATAATATAATATAATATAATATATATAATAATATAATAATATAATATAATATAATATAATATAATATAATATAATATAATATAATATAATATAATATAATATAATATATTCTACCATGACATCAGTAAACACTGGATTGTGATTGGTTAATTAAAGTCATTCAGAGGTATATAATCACGTTATACAGGTCTCTGTTTTCCGTGCGCAATCATACATGGTTTACGGTAATGCACTATTTTTGTCTGCCCACTAACATGGCGGACACCAAACAGCCTACCGATGCATCGATAAATTACGGCGATTTTACTGTCGGAAATTACACATTTGTCTTTAAAGATGGATTTAGCGATGACGGGCTCGACTCACTACTTGCGTAAATCACAGCAATAGGTGTTTATACATACAAAAGTACTTCGAAAGCATGGAAACAAATATTCAGTCGAACAAGATCAAAACATCGTCTGCTTTCCGAATAAAAATTCAGCAAAAACAAATATGTTTACGTTGATTATTTGTTATGTCAGAATAGATCCAGCAATAGACTGCTACATAATTTCCGTGTTAAATTTATTATCAGCTTTCGTCAACGATATCGCCAGTGATCTTGATCCGGTAACGGAGGATGCATTAACATCGAACGCCGAAGAAATTGTAATGCCTTCCGTCCACATAAATAAACAGTTGGGTTATCAATTCAAACAAAATGATATTTTGAAATTTGTACTGTTCAAATTTAGAGGTAGTAAAACACAATAACAGAATCTGCAAACCGTTCTGTTTAGCCCAACATATTTTTTTTCTAAAAGTATATAATATCGTTGAAAAAGTTATTTAGCTTAGTCATGATCCCTCTTATCCATTACATTGCTTGATCTAAAGTAGTCTATTAAAGTATAATTAATTACCTTACCGTGTTTATGCCAGAGGTACACCCTCATGTCCTGATCCATCCTTTCGGAAATATCACCACAAATCTGGCTCTTTGTCAACAGACTCGCGAACATGCCAGCGAATCCGATTCAATTTGAATTCACTACACTTTGAAGCCACTAGGTCACAAAACACTTTCCAAAATGTAGAAAATAATATCCGTAGAATCGAATTTGAGCACAAAGTAAACACATGAGTGTGTAAGAGTCACCACAGCTGTCGCACGCAGACGTAGAGGTGCGTGAAATCGTCAAGTTGACAGGGCGCAAAATTCAACAGTATCTAAATTCGGTACAACACGGACTTCTCGTTACAGCAAAAGCGCCCTACTCTTAAATTTTGTACCAGTACCAGTAATTAGATATCAAAGACTATCTCAGTCATACAATCAGGTTAACCTTGCGCAAACTGTCAGTGGCTCTCCTGTCGCATCTTTCCAAATGTAAACAATGACTTCGAGAAAAGGTCAAGGCCATGAGGTTGCTGCCACTATTCTGGTGGGGAAAGGGTCTACGGTGGAATTTTCAAATGTGAACCAAGCTTTTTAAACTTATTTGATATATGTTTTCCAACTTATCAGTTAATGATTGGTGATTGATGCATTGAAAAAACAAAACGTGATTTGTTATTACTGAATCTGGAGTTTGTTAGTCATTGACGGTTTGCCACCAAACACCCCGTTTCGGGCGATACCACTTGAGATTGGAATGCGAGGCCGCTTCACGTATTGACTCGTAACCAAAGAAAGAGCTCCACCTGAAATTGTTCATAAAATTGTCATGGTAGAATGGAGATAAACCTACTGTGTGGGAAAATCAGAGGTATATAACGAAATTATAATAGCTCTAAATTGTTCATTTAAAACCTCACGCTACGCGTTCGGTTTTAAATGAAATTTAGAGCTATTATAATTTCGTTATATACCTCTGATTTTCCCCCACAGTAGGTTTATCTCTATTAATAAATATAATATAATATAATATAATATAATATAATATAATATAATATAATATAATATAATATAATATAATATAATATAATATAATATAATATCATATCATATCATATCATATCATATCATATCATATCATATCATATGATATGATATGATATGATATGATATGATATGATATGATATGATATGATATGATATGATATATAATATAATATAATAGAATAGAATAGAATAGAATATACATGTATTATAATACATAATGCAACACAGCATAATGTAATGTAACATATGTAATTTTTATGTAATATACATGGAAATGTCTGTCTGTGAATCTATATTTTAAGTAAATGCATATACTATGTAGCTGATATCTGTGTTATGTTTGCAGGTCGCGAGTATGATCGAGTGGGTCGACTGGAGGAATGGTGGGATCCCCATACAGCTGCCAATTTCGCAGAAACCACTAAATGTATGAAAGGCCAGTACGGACAATTCCACAGAGATGGTTACAGGGTAGGTTTTGTGTGTGTTTGTGTGTGCATGACATGCACATGACATGCACATGACATACAGATGTAGTTGACATACAGATGACATACAGATGTAGCGTTTGCAATGGCAGTTGTCTTTTTAAAGCGAAGTTTGGAGAAAGTCGCCAAAGTTTGTTCTGTGTAATCGTCCCAAGGGGACACGAAAGGCCCAGTGGTACAAGTCTGAGCTATTCGATCTGCAGAGTTCTGACTCTTAATTGTACCAGCGGTTTGTCTGCTCCAAACTCGCTCAGTGGCAACCATCTCTTTATCCTTTTCCTGTTTTGAGCTGACAACCAGTTTGATTACTCTATTCTCTGCCTGATGAATCATATTTTGAATTCTTTTACTTTTCTCCTCAGGTTAACGGGACCTTTACATTAGATGAAAATATTGCAGACAATGGAGGGCTGCGAGCGGCTGCCTTTGTGAGTAGATGCACTGAGACCTGGCGAAAACAGTTACTTCTTAATATGTATTGCGATAACATGAGCGAGGTAGCAATACGCGATCTTTATGAAACATATGTCCTTTTTATTTTTTCACGTGTCACAAGCAGAAGTGAAAACAAGGTGTGTATAGGGTGCGTGTATAGGGATTGGGTGGGTGGCTTTATTGGTTACTAATTCTTGGAAAGGGGTGCCGGTAATACTTAGGACATGCCATCAGTCACTAGATAACATTTTTTTTAGTTATTTTCACTAGCGACCGATAGATCATGGTATTTCATTACTATATGTGTAGTAAATAGATGTATTATGACAACTCGACCTTTACATTGAAAACCCAACAGTAAATATACTGAATTACAGATTCGAGTTATCGTTTAATTATTTGCACACAATATAATTATTAGATTATTGAATACTAAAATGATAATTTTGTAACAATGTCCATACAATTAACCTGATGTGAACACTCATGTCCCCAGGCATATCACATGTGGGTGGATGAGAATAAAGAAGAGACGCCTCTACCTGGGCTGAATCTGACTCACAACCAGGTCTTCTTTGTTAGCTTTGCACAGGTAAGTCGTCCAGCATCCGACCCCCAACCTACGAGGGTGTTTCTATACCTCTCCATACATGATAGCTTGTTCTATGTGCATCTGTTACTGTTTATTGCAAGGTGGGATGGCGGGGTAGCCAAGTGGTTAAACCGTTCTCTCGTCACGCCGAAGACCAGGGTTCGATTCCCCACATGGGTACAATGTATGAAGCCCAATTCTGGTGTTCTCCGCCGCGATATTGCTGGAATATTGCTTAAAGCGGCGTTAGTCCATGCTTACTCATTCACTCATTGCAAGGTATTACAAGTGTTGATGCAAAGAAGCTACAGTGTAACCATAATCCCCTCATCCAGTCATAGAATCAATTGCTATACCTATCACAATGTTTGTTTCTTGTTTACCGCCGCACTCAGCAATATTCCATCTGTATGGCTGCGGT